TGTTTAGGGCACTACAGATGAGCTTACTGATTAAAAATATCCTAAATGAAATAAGATTCATTCGATATTTTGGCTAAATTCTTCTAATTACGAAAAAAATTAGGAATAAGAAGAATTTAGCCAAACTATCGAATGAATCTTATTCTATTTAGGATATTTTTAATCAGTAAGCTCATCTGTAGTGCCCTAAACAGCCCGATTTTGCATTTTTGCTCTTAAAAATTTATAATAAATAAAATACGAGTTAAAGTGTGCACTTAGTGCATAAAATGCACTGCCACTATAGGATCCCCTTAAAGGTAGAAGCACATAAAACTGCAGAAACCATGGGCAGAAAGCAGAAGCCATATGCGCATGCGCTATGGTATCCGTAGAGCTCTAACAGATATTATAGCGCATGCGCATATGGCTTTTGCATTTTGCTTATGGCTCCTGCAATTTTATGTGCTTCCACCTTAAGACGGTCTTAAATATAAGAACCGACTATGAATACCGGCCATAGAAAAACTGAAGCAGTAAGACGTGAACAGTAAGTCCCGGTCTACAATAGGTGTTTTAAGGCCCGGTCTACAATGGGTGTTGTAAGTCGAAAATCGTAAGAATTGGCCAATCACAGTTCATTATTCTTCGACCGCAAGGAGAATAATGGACTGTGATTGGCCAATTCTTACGACTTACGACTTACAACACTCATTGTAGACCGGGCATAAGCCCTAAGCTCTAAGAAATTGACCAATCACAGTTATTCTTCTTAAATTCAACTGTGATTGAACAATTTCTTAACGCTTAGGGCTTAAGGGTCGACAGGAGTAACACTACCGACCTCTGTCGGGTTGCTTAGCTGCGAGTCCGTATTTTATTTATTATAAATTTTTTAAGAGCCAAAATGGAAAATCTGGCTGTGTACCAGCTTGCAGCTGATCTTACTGATTAAAACGAGCATAAGTTTAATGAGATTCGTTAATTAATTTGGCTAAAATTTGGGATAACCTTTTCTAAGCAGCTTTTTCAGGCTTGCTTAGAGCTGCAAAGCTGCTTAGGAACCCCTAAGAGCGCAGTTGACCGAAAGTCGACGGTATTAAGTCGACTTTTATAAGTCGACTTCTAGTCGGCTTCTAAAAATGGCAGAAAGTCGACTAAAAGTCGACTTCTAAATAGGCGACTTCTAAAAATGGCGGAAAGTCGACTAAAAGTCGACTTCTAGTCGATTTCTAAAAATGGCGGAAAGTCGACTAAAAGTCGACTTCTAATCAACTTCTAAAAATGGCGGAATGTCGACTAAAAATCGACTTCTAAATAATCGACTTATAAAAGTCAATTTTCCGTCGACTTTTATAAGTCGACTTCTAAATAGTCGACTATAAAAAGACGGAAAACAGTCAAGCGGCGCGTCATGCATCATCAATATGGCGGCGAATCTTGAGGAGGCTGGAGGAGAAAATTAATGTTTACGCGAGTGCAAGGAATACATGCCGCGAGACAGGACACGATAAGACGTCGAAAAGCGTCGCGCTATCAACCACCGCCACGAAACGTCGTCGTCGTCGTCATCATTGTCTTCCCGTTGACTTCCTCGATTAGATCAGAATACTGGAATTTGACTGTATGTATGTTGCAATATGTTTGAGACGGTTGTCTACATTGTCTACAACAAGAATTGTTACAGAATGCCGTTACCAACCGACATGGAAGCGAAATTGCTGCGCCAGATAGTTCTTGCAGGTATGGCGGATCTAAAAGAGGATCAGGATAAGGCCAAGTGGAAATATGCTTTAGAGGTTAGGTATGGTGTGTTATTAATTATCATCGATAATTAAGACCTATTGAATGCGACCTCTCCATTCTGAACCATTTTTCAGAACACCATCAGAAATGGAGGAACCTGTGTTCATGCATTCTTCGTGCGTTCTACGGAAAATCAGTCCGGAATAAGTGGTTTATAAAGAGGTGTACGAAACGAATAAGATGTATATGCGAGGTGTCACGGCGATAGAACCCGAATGATTGCCGAAATTCGCTTCCACGCTATGCCATCTTAGTGAACCATTGGTTGATCCACCGCCAAGGTATTTTTATCACAATTGTTGCTTTATAATGTTTTTCCTATTTATTTATAAAGATATTAATCTTCATTATGATCGAATATTATTCTCATTTATAGATATAATCAAGGAACCGGGAAGATCATTTGCCGCGTGTCTGGTACATTTGGAAAGGCCGGATGGGGACTACCATCGATGGATATAGAGCATCTGTGGACGGTGTAAAGTGGTTCGCGTATTTCTTCTTGGAGGTTCAAGTGTACCCTAAGCTGAAACGATTTGTTTCGTCGTTGCTGACGACATCTGGGAGCATCACCAAGTCATGGGCCAGATAAATCGTTATTCTATCTCCTTTCGATTTCACGTTGATTCATCGAATGCATTACATCAATTCAATACGATTTTTTCAGGTTGATACCACGCACTCAAGCAATAGTACAAACGTTGCAGTCGCAGGGAATCGTGTCCAAATACAAACTGCTAGAAATCTGGGGTTTGGATGAAAAATGTGAGATTTTAATTTATAAAATAATAACAAAATATATTAGTGTTATCGACGGACTTGTTAAAGTTTAGAATTATTGTTGTTATGCGGACTTGTTTTATATTATGCGTGACCTTTCCCCCC